AGGTTTGGTGGGGTGCGGCGCTCGCTTGCCTGCGGCGCTCGCTTGCCACATACGTTAGTTATATATATATTTTATAAAAAAACATTCTCGAGTCCTAACCACCACCACCACCACCACCACCACTACTACTACTACTACTACTACTTATTACTTTGATGACGGGCAAAAAGTACATTGTCGAACGATTTTTAGTATCCAAAAATCCTTGTTTACCCAAGTGCCTTGCATACTGTACATACATATTGTGGAGATTCTAGCTTTCACATCACTGGATCGTAGATATGTACGATATACTTATTATGCAGGAATAAAGAGGGGGGGAGGCGACAAGGTTGGATACAACGGAGATACATTATATTATGGAGGACACAAACAGGTACATCGCTAGTGCCAAGAGATTAAATAGTCATAACGATGATAATCCATGAGCATGAACGCGTGGTTCCTTCACGTCTACGCCACGCCAAAAGCTTCGGTAGGCACAACGGTAAACTGGGTAGCCGGGCCCTGACCGGTATGCTTAACGGTGGTGTTACCTGTGTACGTGTAGGTAGCCTCGCCGCTAGTTTAACTCGTTAGCCTTTTGCTCGTCTATCGGCGGAAAAAGAGAGAAGGGGGAGCCATTTCAACTTACTCTGTAAAGGTAAACCGCACACTGACGATGGCGCCAACGTCAATGCCCTGGTTGAATTCCTGCGCTAGCACATCTCCGGGCACGTCCACACCGACTTCGCCGCACGACTTGTAGTCGCCCTGGAAACTGTTGCCGGAGCAGTACTTGGCGTCGAAAGAGTGCTGACCGGATGGTCCGGTGGGAGCAGCAACGTTGAACGAGTAGTAGCATGTTGCGGCGGTGCAGACGCTGCTGAAGTCGGTGACTTGCCAGGTCCAGTCGATGCTGCGGGGGACAGCAGCTGCAGCAGCGCTGGTGGCGAGGAGTGCGAGGGGAGCGATCTTGGAGAACATGTTGGCGGATTTGAGTGGTATTTTGAAGAAGGCTTGGTGTTTGGAAGGGGGATCGGGTGATGCTGTTGTGTGCAAATGCTGGGTTGGCTTCTTCGACAGCCTGACTGCTGGCCTTTTATATCCTTTTTGCTTCAGTATGTTTATTCGTGCCAAGGTGGCATAACGTCTCCTGATGCAACATGGAATACGAGGTTGTACCTGTTGCTGGTACTAGCAGCAGGACAGAGTCAGTCGTCTGCTAGTGTGGCGGGACACTGCCGCAGCGATCCTCCCTTTCCGACAACCTTACTGCAAAGGCAAATACGTAGATCCATGTGACACCATCCTGGACGCCTCCGTTATTTTTGGTTTAAGAAAGACCGTGTTTGTTGTTGGGGCCGATGATCCCCGCAATGTGATGACGGATTATGATAAGCGCTATGAAACAGCGCTGCAATAGGAAGCGTGCTAAGCTGTACCCGCCCCGGATATCCAAACGAGGCACTGGTGCTAATGCACCGCACTATTGTTATGACGTACCATCAACTCTAAAATAAAATAGAAACATCGCGATGTTAAGATGCACAGCTTATTACTTTGGCGGTGGCTGATTCATGGTACCCCTTTTCTTGCTGATGGGCGACCCCGTATATATGTGACTGTCGGTGACTGATCGCATCATCGACGGTCGAGATGTGCTGGGCAGGTCAAACGGACTTGCATGGCTGTGTGTGGACCCAGGAAGGCCGGGCCGCGATTTACTACCCGGTGTGGCTACTGGGTTCGCGGGTACATCCGCAGGTGGCGGTTCTGCAAGCGGATCAGACAGGAATATTGTCAGCAGCTTCTCGACAACATCGCGCATTCGGTCCGGTTGGACATGCAGCGGCTTCTCCGACATGTGCTTTCTCTGCAGAGAGTCAGCTGCTGTGCTCGAATGAATAGTAATCCAACATACCAAGGCCAATGCTGCCCCTTTGTAGGTTTGATGATAAATCAACTTGTACTCATCGTCTTTGGCTGCCTCTGCGATTGCCTCTTCGCTCAGCCGCTCGCTTTCTTCGCCGCCAACAGCCAACGATGCCCGACGAGACTTGTTTGGCTTTCGCTGCTGCAGCCCATGCATGCGCATTGCTGCCATGACCACTTTTACCAGTGCATCCTTGTTGCGTGACTCTGTTGTCGGCTCTTCTGGCTGTATAGGTATAGTGGCGACCTGAGAAAGGTTTGATCGCCTCGCATGGGCTTCAGGCTGACCTTTGCGGCTCAATGGCCTTGTGTCTGAGGAGATGCTTGGTGATCGAGAGTGCGGACGAGAGCTGGGGTGCGGAAGGGCTCCAGAGGCAGACTGTGGTCTCGAGTCTGTGAATGGCGAGGCCCTTTTGTCGATGGATAGCGACGATTTCCGGTGGGTATAAGGCTGCTGGGACTCGCTACCCCGAGCAGCTGCAGCCGAGACAGCTCTCCCACCACTCCCTCTGGCCTTCTTGTTTGCTATTGTAGCCTCCTCAAAGATATCCCGATGTTTCTTTGGGGACTTTGGAGGGCCATGGGCGTTGTGCAGCGGGGGCAGGAAATGGGCGTCATCGTCGAGCGGGAGGCTGATGCTACTGCGGTGCAACAGATCAGAAGAAAGGGGTGTTGCGTGTACTCTGAGCTCAGGGAGCTGTTCGCCTGAGATATTTTCTATGGATGACGAAGACAAAGGTGGTGTGGGTAACCCGCCAATGGCATGTATAGCGATGGTCCCGTAGAAAAGAATCTCGGTCACTCTGGGCTTCTGGGCATCCTCTGCTACATCCTGAACCTGGGCTAATATGCCAATGGGTGATTGTGAGCGTGCAAGCTTCCACCATTCGTTTGCAGTCTGGCCGGGCGTATCTGATAGTGTTGCGGGGTTGCTAAGCAAGAGTGACTCGAACCAGGCCTGTGTACTTTCTTCCGTTGTCCATACATCTAGGCTGGGGCCGGCGGCAAGATACAGAGGCATTCTTGCGGTATCAACAGTCGTCAGGAAGCGCAGGGTGGGTGTGCTGAGAGTGGGTGCGGACGCGATATTTTGTGTTGTGAGGCCGACATCTGTGCAAAGTTAGCGGTAGTGTAAACAGTACGCCGTTGTGCATGCCTTTAATTACGTTACCGTCTGGCAGTAAGATGTTCCCGCTCCAGATATCGGCCATTGCAGGTTCAGGTGTATTTTGCCAGGTAAAGTAACGCCGAGTGCAAGTCGGCGGGATGACGCGCTTTGGTACGCGCTAAGAGCACGCGACTGCACGTGAAAGATCGACAAGGCTGACTTCCATTACCACGTTGACTGAACACCTGTGTAAGCAAGGTAGCTTGTTTCAAAGGGAGAAGCCCTCTTACATTCACAGCCCGTGTAATAGGCATTAAGTAAGACGTGATGTTATGTTCTAACTGTGTAAAGTCTAACGTATGTGGCAAGCGAGCGCCGCAGGCAAGCGAGCGCCGCACCCCACCAAACCTGCGCACCTCTATAAGCCTGTAGTTCCACCACAATATAGTTGTTTTACTACATATTAACATAATAGATTAAGCAGTACCTAGAGTATCTTTCTTGCACGTACGCGAGTTATGGCCAGTCTCTCTGCACCTACTACAGCGCGCCAAAGCCTGGCGGCTAACACCTAATCGCTCTCCTCTCTGACGCTCTTCATGAGCAATCTGCTGATTAGCCTCGCGCTAAGCGAGTAGATCCTCTCCAGCTCCCTTTGTAAGTACTCCTCGCTTCTGTATCCGCTTTTTCTTACGCTGCCTACGCTTTGTTGCTACCTTATTAGCCCTCTTAAGGCTGGCGAGCCAATCGCGCATTAGCTTAGCCAAGAGCATCATTAATCTCT